GGGGTTCTAAGCCAGTCTTGGTTACAGAAGAACCCATCACCAAACCAGTGTTTTTTTGGCTTTGACAAGGGCACTACAGATACCAAGTATAACTTTGTTTTAGGAAAATATAAACCAAAATATTCAGGAACAAAAAGAACATCATTTCTGCAATGCACTCTCAAATGGTTTCAGAACATGGCTGTCCAACATGCATGTGTGTTCATATACATGCAAATCTATGCACAGAGAAGAATGTGGGCTCGACTGAGCACATGAACAGAATGCTGGTGAAAAGAGCTCAGGAGTTGGTGCTTTTCCTGCAACTTTGCTGACAGTGTGGAATTCTAAATTTTTTTTTTTTTTTTTAGAAATTCAGGATAACAGAAGAAAGCATGCAGATGAGACAGACTGGGGAAGCCATGAGTTAGTGCTAGAGGCAGGGCTCAGGAGACAGACCCTCATGAAAGGTTCTTCTGCATCCTGGTGGCTTCTGTGCTATGCAGAAGACATTTGGCCTTGTTCTCTGGGCCTCTCACTTTCTGGTCTTCAGTCTCTTTACTTGCAAGGCTAGGTTATTCCAGTAGTCAGGAGGCAAGAGCAAGAAGTTTAAGGCTAGTTGGAGTTACATAGTGAGACCTTGTCTCAAAAAAAAGAAAAAAAAGAAAAGAAAAAGCCCATCTGTGTCTCTTTCAATGTGATCTTCATTTCCTAAATGCAGCTGGTACTTTCAAAAGTTCCAGGATGGAGGCAGCAGGTACTATGATCTGACAGAAGCCTTCCCATTCTTCGTTTAGGGCTGGGAGAAAAATGTGATACGTAGGCTCTGCTTTTCTGGCTGGAATGTCCAGTCTGTGTTAACTCAGAGCCAAGGGCATGAGGCCACTGGCATATCAGCTGGCCTGGAGACCTTTCCTCCCAAAGGGATGGCCAGGACTGCTAAAGCCCTGTGACCTTCTGAGCGTCTCATGTTAGACAAGGGCACACACCTGCCTGCCCACAGCTCTCGTGCCTCTTGCCTAGATCCACACCTCTAGATCCAACAGCCTTAGCCTCCTTCCTGTTGTCCTGCTTCTTCCCTTGCCCTGACAGAGCTACACAGGCTACCTGTGAGTCTCCCACAGCTGGCATCTGAGTGTATGGGTATCCCCATGGAAGGAGTGTCCTAGTGGGCATCCCAGTTGGGCACTGGCATGTGCAGCTGAATATTCTGTTGATAGTACAGGGTACAGCTAGGCAAGGAAGGCTGAGAAAGCAGTTGCAGTCCCCAGAGAAGCCACCTGAGGCTGATAGTAAGCCAGATCAAGGAATTGGTCACCCTTATTCTACAGCCCCACTGTTCCAGGCTACACAGACTCTGGTGGCATCACTATTATTCCCAGGCCAGAGACAGTGCCTCTTCCATAGAACCTCATGTGCCAAGGGAAGTCCAGTAGGTACCTGCCACCTGTGAGGACTCTGAAGTAATCAACCAGGCTAAAGTGCCTCTAACCTAACAGATTAGCTGTCAGCAATCCCCATCCCACCCCTAAGGCACACCTCAGGCTCTCAGGCCATGCACTCAGTCCTCTTTCCCAGCAAGCAAGTAGCTCCAACCTCCTACCCCACTGGGCCACACTGAATGCTTTAGAATTTGCAGTTGCCACTCTTCAGAGCTCTAGAACCAGTGCCCTGGGGACTATGTGCATGAGAAAATGTGTGTGTGTATGTGTGTGCCAATGGGCATGTTCCCTGAGCTCATGGACCTGATCCTTTTGTTAGTCATGAGCCATGAATATCATGCACAAGCCAGGTGAGGGCAGTTGGTTCCAGATTGCACCTACCTGTTTATAGCAGTGGCTGATGTGCATGAGCCAGTTACTATGCAGGGAGGTCCAACTCTTCGTCCTCTCAACATGGTAGGTTTTCATTACCCCTGTTTTATAAAAGAGGCCAATAATGGGTGGAGTGAAACAGCAATCCGCAAACTGTAGCTAGGCCTGCAATCTGAATTTAGAGTCAACCTTGGCTCTACATCAACTCTTCAAATAGATTCAGTAAATCTGTAAGAAGCTGAATTATGTGGGTAGATACCAGAGGTGAGGGACTCATGGAACAACAGTAGACATTCTTTTTCTTGCTGAGATTCACTCTAGCCCCCACTGCCTAGTATGTCCTGTGTGCGTGCCCTTTGTTAGTGCTTTTTAGTCCAGCTTGTTAGAACACAGGTGTATGTAAGCATGAGTGGGAACAAGCATGCCTGGCCCGGGACTCTTCTGTGTAAGGAAAGAGGCCAGGAGGCAAGGATGAGTCACGTCACTCCAGGTTGCTGCTGGTCATCCATTCTGAATCCTCTTGTCCTGGCCTTTCTGGCCCTGGGACCAAGTCTTCTAGTTTGGATTGGGGGTAGTGCAGTCTATGGGCTTCGTTAAGGGGATTTTCTATATTCCTCATCTTCCCTACCCCCAGGGTCAGGCAAGAGTGTCCTGAGAAATGCTTCTTGATGTTTCTGCTCAAGCAGCATTTGCCGCAAAGTATGTCAAACTTTGGTTTTTAGCTTAGAATATGCCAATGTTTTTAGTTGGAAGCAGGAGAGTTTCTGTTGATATGGTAAGTAAGAAGATAAAATAAGACATTTTCACCAAGTTATACTGTTTGAGAGTCTATTTGGCTCAGGGACAGAGATTTAGCTTGGGATCGCAGGGGCCTAGCCTAGCCTATGTGAGAAAAAGAAGGGCCAGTGTGCATTGAATGACTACGTGAGTGGACACACAGCAGGCCTAGAACCAGCAGTGATACATGGTCTCCACTCAGGTTTTGAATGGATCCCAGAGATTCTATCTCTGTCTTCCCCATTGTCACTAACCTGGTCTTGTCCAATCCCCTGTCACCTCTGGATGGACAGCTAACAGCCTCCTCACCAGCCTCCTTGCTTTTACACTGGGCCCCTTAGCCCATTCTGTTCACAGCTACCAGTCATCTTTAAAGAACATAAGCTGGACTGTGTGATACCCTGCCTAGAACCTTCACTGGATGTTACCTGCTCTTGGCCATGCCATCTACAGCCCACCACTGACCTCTTTTACACTACTATGTCTCCAGCTTCCTTTTAGCTGCTGACTAAATCATGCCTGTCCTGTCTCAAGGTGTGACAGGAGTCCCCTCTGCCCAGACTGCTTTGCTCCAGAGCACTCTGTCTGGCTCCTTCTATCAACTCTGGCCTCAGCTCATATTTGTCATCCTTTACAGAGGCCTTCTCTGACCCTCTAATTAAAGCAGCCCGTCCCTGTTCACCTCTCATAGAGCATAGAGCATCACTCAGCATAGAGCATCAGCCAGGGGCCAGGCACTGTACAAACAGAAGTGAGCACAGCAGCAGAGCCCCTAAACTCCTCACTGGGTTTCTGGGTGCCCACTTGTGTTCCTCAAGAAGGGCCTGTGTGCCAGCTTCCATCTGTCTTTGCTCACCAAGTACTCAACAAATAGTCATTTGTTCAATGAAAGAATGGATGTCGGGGTGGCAGGAATGCAGAGCATCTGACACATGCCCTTCCTTGCACTTGGCTCCTGTGATGATATCACTAAACTTACTAAAGAGTTCTTCAAAGATATCTTGCTTTGTCTCCAAGTATCTCCCTCTTAGTGAAAATTATTTCTACAACAGACAATGTGTTCCCATTCCACCGTGGAAAGCCTTTTCCTGCACTGATGGTGTTAGAAGTGGTTTGGTCACAAAGGTGGACCGAAGTCCTGTCCCTGCTGTGGTGGTGTTAGGGGTGATTAGGTCATGAGAGTGGGTCCCTCTGATGTAGTGCCTTTTGGAAAACTATGAGAATGAAATGTTTGCTGTTTGAGCCATGGTAGTCTGACACAGTATCCAAAACAAAGACACCCTCTTATGGCAATATTGGCAATCAGGTAACACAGGAGAGGAGGGCTAACAGCCTCCTTGGGGTGACATTAGTATCTGTTATCTAAAAGGAGCCCCTGCCCACCAGTTCCATATGCCCCTTCATTAACACTCTGACTCTATGCCCCGCCAAGTTCCAGCATTACCCAGCTATAGGGCTCTGCCTGCCCCATGACACCTTACTGGACCCAACAGCTTGCCTGGCACAAATGTTCTCTCTTACACAGCCCAGCTGCCCCCTTTTCCTTGTTGGGATACTTTACCCACTCCTCCCTTGACTCACATTTTCCTACTCTAGCAAATAACAAAGCTTCTTGGTAAAAGCCCCAAGGTAGGTGCAACCATCTGTGGTCCCTTAAGCTGACCCTAGCAGGCCTTGGAAATACTGCAGGCAAAGCCAGCTCCAGCCCAAAACTGCCTGCTTACTCCATAGCGGCAGCCTAAGAAACTGATAGTCAATGCGGATCTGAGCTGCGCTGCTAACAACCCAGGATCCCTGAAACCTGACTCCAGATACAGCAGTGGACGCACTGCCAAAAGGAAGTGCGGCGCTGTTTGCTGAAGCTTTCCACTCTCACAGCCTTGGCCTGAAGCCCCTGAGTTTAACTAGTCCCTCAAGAGGCGGCGGAACAAAAGTGACCAGTGCCTCTTAAGACACCAGCCTATCCTTCCAGGACAAATAAGCATTCCCCAAACCCCCAAGGTCACCAACAAGACAGGCTGAGACTTGGGGGAGGAGCTGACAGCTCCACCTCAAAAGGTTTTGGGTACAAAGCTTTTTGCACATGTCATGGGGTAAACTGCATGACCGCACTAAATGTTAATGTAGACCCTGGGTCCCCTTCCTTGGAGGAATCTCTCTAGTAACTAGTATTCCTAGCATTCGAGTTAGACCCAGAGGTGGCCAGCGAAATCAGAGGCTTGGAGGAAGGATGTTAGTCTGCTCTGCGGACACCGCCTTCTCCCTCCCCCGCCATAACCCTCATCTCAAGGGCACTTACGGGCCTCTTCCTGGGGTCCCATCTCGGTCCAGATAGTGCCCCCAACCAATGGCAGTGGCATGATACGGGCAGCTGGTCCAGGCCAAGAGATGCAGATGGTGGAGGGCAAGTAGGGAACAGTAATCAAGACCTTACTCCAAATATCCATCGAAGACGTCGAGCTCCGAATCGGCATCATAAAGACCAGAGCCTGGGTCGGAGAGTACGCCGAGGTCCACCAGCGCCTGGTCCAAGTCCTCGGGCAGGAAGACGAGGCCCACGTTGAGAACGATGTATTCCATGAGGAAGGCGTAGTAGAGTATCAGCACATTGACGAAGAACAGGCCCACGTAGAACATAGAGGGCAGCAGCGGAGGCTGCCCGTAGGAGACTAGGGGACCCAGAGCGTCCAGGTGGGCTGCGACGCGGGCGCCGGGCATGCAGGGGCCGGCGGTGGGGGCGGCGACCGGGCTATCCCAGCGACCTCAGCCGCTGCGGCGCCCAGGCGGCCGGCGAGGGGCCAGCTCGGCCATTCAGGGAGCGACCCGGGGCTCGGTGAGCGCAGCGCAGGGCCCCGGGCGGCCTCCAAAGATGCGCTTTGACCCCCGAGATGTTCAGGACCGGGTCACAGAGTCCAGGCTTCTGGATGCGGGCCACACGGGCCGCTAGCCCCTCAGGGCACCCCTAGCAGTGGCCAGCAGCTCGCTCGGTGCGCCGCGCTCACGCGCCCCCGCCGCAGCTGAGAGTCAAGGCTGGGTCCCCGCTGCGGTCTCCCCGAGGCGCCCCCGCAGGCTCACTGCCCATCTCTGCGGCCGCTGCGTCGCTCTGCTGCTTCCCAGCACCGCCTACCCAGAGGCTCTGCGCTCATTGGCCAGTCGCATGCTCTCCAGCGTTCATTGGTTAGCTCAATGCTCCACGCTCATTGGCTCGAGCTGTCGTGGGGGGGCCGATACCCCTTTGCTCCATTGGAAGTGCTCCCCAGTCTCTAGATTGCTCTTGGGCAGTAGGCGCTCCCTAACCTCTGCACGTAGAATTTATCAGGTATGGTGCCTCACCTCTTTGGAACTTGGTTCCCCCATTTTAAATGAAGCCAAGTGGAGAAGTGGTGTCGGCAGTTCCACTGAAAATATTAGCTATTTCCAAAGCGCTTTTCTTTTTTCTTTTTTTCCCCCCACGACAGGGAAAGAAAAAAAAAATCAAAGACAATGAGTGTCTTTGACAGCTGCCTGAAGATCTCCATTATAGGGGGTCCATGACCCCTGGATGGAGAGCGCCACAGGCGGGTCAAATCTTACGCCAGTAAGATTGCTTATTGTTTCTTTTTACTTTGTAGTCCATGCTTAAAAAATACTAATAATGCTAGGTAGTTGAAAATATCTGCTCAGATTTCTCTGTCACAGACAGAGGAACCCCTGTGCTTCCTTAGGAAGATGAGTTTGCCAAAAGTGCCTTCCATCGGTTTAAACAGCTGGGGATCAAAACACAAGATGTAGCTCTACCACTGAGCTACAGTCTCAGTTCTTGAAACAACAACAACACCCCCCAAAAAAAACAAACAAACAAACAAAAAAACAAAACAAAACAAAACAGGGGCTCACTATGTAGCTTCTGGCTGGCCTGAAACTTGCTATAGACCAGGCTGGCCTGGAATACACAGAGTTCCACCTGCCACTGTTTCCTGAGTGCTTGGATTAAGGTCTCTGCCATCATGCCCAAAGTATCCTCAGCTCTTAATAGGCCTTTATCCTAAGTTCACACTTAGCTTCATAAGAGCTGGACAAGGCAATGTAGTATGTTCCCTCTTCACAGATGAGGAACCAAATCCCAGAGAAATGGATTTTCAAAACTGTTGATCCTGGGTCATTTTCTTTGGAGGATGAAACGTGTTCTTCTTTCATGACTTTTATTGTCTCTTTAGCTCAATTATAGGGGAAACCGTTAACCTGACACTGGCCTCCATTTCTCTTATTTTTTTTTTCTCTTCATTTTGTGAGACAGGGTTTCTCTGTGTAGCCTTGGCTGTCCTGGACTCACTTTGAAGACCAGGCTGACTTCGAACTTACAGCATTCCCCCCCCCCCCCGTCTCTGCCTTCCTGAGTGCTGGGATTAAAGGCGTGTGCCACTGTGCCTAGCTTTAAAATTCTTGAAAGCAGTGCAAACCATCATTTATTCACTCTATCACTATTTATTTTAAAACCTACCATGTGCCAAGTCTTGTCCTGGGCACTGTAGAGAACATTGGTCCCTGACTCAGTTCTTTTTTAGGACAGTTAATGGGTTGCCACAGTACTTCAACAGCTATGAGATGTACAAATAAACGAGTAGGTTCTGAGCCACAAAGTTTTGCTTTCCACAGAGGTCCCACTTCCAATCTGAGAAGGGAATTCAGGTATGTGTAAACTCATTCAGAAAGTGTGGAGTTTCCTTTCTTTCTTAATGTGTTAGTTTGGAAATAGCACGGATTTTGGATGAAGACCAGAGGAAACCTCTGAAAATACATCGTGGTTAGGCTTAGTACATTACTGCTTGCATATTTCCAAGATGTTTTAAGGCTGAAGTGCAAAAGAAAAAAGTTTTAAGGACAAACAAGAATGTCACTGATTTGTTTTGTTGACAGAAGCAGATGGGCTTGAACCCTGCCTCTGCCACATGTTAAGTGCCTGACTTCTCCATGACTTAGTTTCCAGATTGTAAAATAAGGTTAATAACAGCATCTACTTCATAGGATTGGGAGAATTAAATAGCAAATCACTTAGGATAGTGACATATAATATGCACCACTTAATGTATTTTTATTAAATTTTTAATATTTTGATATTGAAGCCACATGCCCACCCTTTAAAAATTTTAAAGAGTTAGGGCCATCAAAATGACTCGTCTGTTAAAAGATGCTTGCTGGCAAGACTGAAGACCTGAATTCAACTCCCAGAACCCAAACGATGGAAGGCGAGAACCTACTTTCAAAAGTTGTACACTGACTTCCACAAGCAGGCAAGCACTCTCCGCGCGCGCACTCACTCACAAATTTAACATTTTTTTTTTTTTTTTAATTTAAGAGAACTAAACCTCGTCAAGTTTCCCAGAGTGATCTCCAATTTGCTGACCTCTTGACTCAGCTTCTCTAGTAGCTGGTGTTTCAGGACACGCTCCCCTTTTCCCAATCACAAAGTTAACAATCCATATGGTCAGAGTTTCTTTCCCCCAACTTCACCAAACCTCGACAATGACCCGCCCACCTCGACAGTGACCCGCCTCCTCCCTTCCTCTTACCTTGCCTCTTCTCGACGGTCGCGTGAGTCATGCCTGTCCTTGTAGTCCGTTCGCAGAGTCTCGTCGCCGGGAGCCTCGCTCGAGAACTGTATTTCCCAGAGTTCCTTGTGGTGGCGGCCGTAAAGCGCGGCGGTCGAACGGCCGGTTCCGGCTGAATGTCAGTGCGGGGCTGTGGGCCAGAGAGGAAGGTGCTTGGCAGTCTCTCCACCACCCCCGCCGCTACCTGCTGGGCTTGAGATGTGGTCGCGGACGCTGGGCCGCTGGGCGGATCGGATATGAAACCGTGAGGCGGGCGACGGGGCTGGGCTGCGGACATGTTTGGCCGCTCGCGGAGCTGGGTGGGCGGGGGCCACGGCAAGTCCTCCCGCAACATCCACTCCTTGGACCACCTGAAGTGAGTGTGCGGGGCGCGCGTAGGGGAGGCCGTGGGGCCGGGCACGGACGCCCAGACGCCGGCTTGGTTTTCGTGGCGCGGAGGTGCGAGGAGGACAAGGGAGTCGCGGGAGGGTAGTGCGGTGGTTATCCGCAAGGCTTTGGAGTCAGGGCACTGTTTCGAGCCCTGACCCTGTCGTTCCTGGCCCTGTGACCTTGGACAAGTCGCGTGATTTGTCAGTCTCCAGACACCCAACCTGAAAAGTAAGGGCATTGATGAGTTTTTGGTTTGTGGACTGGAGTTGTTTTGATGGGAGGCAGACGGTGGCTACTGAGGTTCTTGGGGTGGCACTTCTTGGACTGCATAGTTTAGAGGCCAGATGCCAGGGAATCGGCCAGATCTGAATTTGAATTTAGTTAACAGTATATATGTATTTAGGCTTCAGTTTCCGTAGCTGTAAAACGAATAGCGTGACAGTACTACTTTCTGTGGTTATTTTTAGGATTGGTTGGATAAGAGAATGAACAAAACGCGCAGAACATGTACTAGTGCTCTAAAAAGGAACAGTGATTAAAAGAACAAAGTATTTTCAGAAGGAAATCTAAAGGGATAGTCACCCATAGCACTCTGAGAGAGGACAGGTGGCTTACAGAGTCCTGGGGGAAGCAGGAAAGTACATAGAAGAGGCTAGCTTTGGAGTTAGACCTGTGTTCAGATCCTGACCCAGCCACTTAATGACTGTAACTTTGGTCGTATTTTATCTCTCGGTCTTTCCAATTTGCCATTACCAGGTGGGAACTATGAAGTGTACAATAATTGGGTGATGCCATGCATACAAAGTGGTTGGCCTGGTATTGATTGACAGCAAATGGCTGACAGTGATAGCCAAGCCATCCCAGCCCACCTCAGTTCCTTTCTATCTCTTGGTTTCATTCATTATACCCCTCCTGTCTTCTATGGTTCTGTTTATTTTCACTTTCTTTCCAGTTTTTGTTAAACTGATACTTCCAGGACATAAGAAGCTGCTTGGTTTGTTTGCAAGATGCCTGGTTTCTTTGCAGTTGTATTCAAGGATCTAGCTGATGCCTCAGGATTAGAGGAGGGTGGCAAAGAGAGAGTGGTGGAAGATAGAGACCTTTGAGGAGGGAGGGCTTCAGGGAGAGAACAGGATGGGAAGATGGTGGGTACCAACAGAATGGAAGACAGGGTCTCTAGAAGGGATTGGTGAGCTAAAAATTAGATGTGGCTTTCATTTGATCCTAAGGTTACAGAATGGCTTCTGTCACAGGGCAAGCGTCTAGTAAAGTTTGTGGATCTCCAAAAGTAGAGAGCAGGGTGGTTTGGGGTGGAGAAGCCAAGAAGAGGAAAGAGATTAGAGGGCAAGAATGGGGTGGGGTGGAGGTTGGTAGTGAATCAGAAATCTTAAGTGGGGTGGCAGATGGCCCAAAAAAGAAGTGGGGTGTGGATGAGTGGCTGAAGGATTTAAGGAATGTGTGAGTAGATGTGGCTGTGAAGGGGAGGGTGGTTATTCTGAGGGGCTGGGCCATCTACCAGCCCAAGCATCTGCCGGCTCTCACTTAACTTAGGACTATAGCCCCTTTAAATTCCCATTTATTTATTGTGTTACATTGTCTTGCTAAGGATTTCCTGTTTTCTTATAGTCATCACAAGCCTATGAGTTATAGGACCTTTCTTTTATTGCTTCTATTATACAGACATGGGGCTAAGATTCAGAGAGCTTAAGTCACCTGCCCCAAGGTGAAACAGCTGAAGATTGCCAGAGGCAGGTCTCAACTCTAGTTTCTTTGTTATAGTGTCTTTCTGGATAAAACCTCTCAGTATAAGGAAGCTTTTAACTGGGCTGCATGTCATGCCCAATGGGATATCTTTGCTGGCCAACCAGTGCACACCTGGGAATGTAAGGGGCCTCAGGTTCCTTCCCAATATCCTGGGAACATCTCAGGTTCATTGTTGAGATCACAGGAAAAAGAGCTTGCCCGCCTTGCTTCAGGCTGATCTGTTTAATCCCTTTCACAGCCTCAGGGACTTGGGTATTGATTGGCATGGGACTTAGAAGATCCAAGGTGACTTGGAAAAGGATGCCACAGACAGCTAGTGCCTACCCCAGTGCTTGTGCTGCCCTTTATCTCGCTATGATAGTAAGCATCTTGGGTACAGAACAGCTGGTTCACAGGGGGAGCCTGCTGGCTGCTGCTGGGAGACCACAGTGGAGTCAGGACTCGGCAGTGGGTCAAATATAAGGACTGTAGCAGGCCCAGGGCTCTGTGGAATCCCTTCTTAGAAGCTTTCTGGAGGAGGCAACACTATATCAGACTACCCCCAAATGGGTAAGTGTCATCATATGGCACAGCCAAATTGGGGACACCATAGTCAGGTTTGTGGCAGAGCCAGGTATGTCTTGGTAGCTATAGGAAACAAGACTGTGAGAAGGAAGAGGCTTCATCTGACATGTAGGGTGATGAACACCTAAAGTTTGTTCAGCACTGGAGGTGGGGGGGGTGTTCCCAGGACATAGGACTTTCATTGCTAAAACCAGGAAGTCTTAAGCAAACTAGAATAAATCACATTTCTAGTTATTAAGTAACAGTCCCAAATACTTTAAAACAAAACCAAGCCAAAAACCATGGTCTTGCTATAGCCCAGGTTGGTCTAAAATTCATAGTCCTCCTGCCTTAGTATCTCTAAGTCAGGGGGATTCCAGGCATGCATCACCTTGGCTGGCCTCTAATACATTCTTGCTCTGACCTAGCACAGTGTTGTTGGAATGAGAAGTCAAGGTTTTAAGAAAATTGAGAATAGGGCTCTTTGGTTGTTGGTTTTTATATTCTTTCTTTCTGCAGTGGGAACAGAGATATAAGGGGGAAAGAGTCAGGGTCTTGCTCTGGCTGTCCTCAAACTCTTGGTCCTAAGTGCTAGGATTACAGACACACATTGCTATGTCACCATGCTCAAACCCTGTTTTAAAAATACCCTTTCCTTGACAGCACTTCCGTCTTACAAACTGGAAAGAAACTTTCCTGTTACATGACGTTTAACTTTTACTAAATAGTGAAAAACTGTACCTGAATTATTTACCTACCAAGTTGGGCCAGTCATTTAGTTGCGGGCTGATGGAATAGTCAGGTGGTTATTCATGATACATTATTGGTAGTTTATTGCCCACACTAGAGACAAGGCTATGCCATTAACTGACAGATGTCTACCCCAAGCAGAACCTCTACTTATGGAGTCCTTTGATTGTTACTGAAATGTCATTTGGAAAGGGGGACTGTGAGCCCACAAACTGATAGAACCGTGGTTCTATCAGTTGTCTCAATTCTAGTCATTTTGTGGTGTCAAAATTATTGGTCCAAGTGACAGATCCTGCTAGAGAATCATTAAGTATTAGTGGCGTCTATTGAATAGCTCCTGGTACTGAATGTTGTGTTCTAGCTACAGCATGGCAGAGCACATGTGCTTAGATGTAATTATCAGGAATCTGCCTTTTTTCCTCTTGGTCTCATTCTCAACAGGTTCAGGACACCATTGTATCAGCTTTGCCATCCAAATGGGCATAAAGAGCCCCTTTTCTTTTTAATTGTTTTGTCAGTTTCATCCATGCATCGTGGTCCTATTCACTCCGTAGTAAGATCTCCTTTTCTCAGTGTTGCCAGAAGTCCAGTATGTTCTTTTCAACCTGGGGACTCATGCCATCTCTGAGCTAAAGACAAGATAATGTGTTGCGCCCATTCAAGCCCACTTGTCTTGCCTGTTCACTCACTGCCTGGAGCCTTATGTGGGACCACCTCCACTCTTGCTAGGGCACAGAGAATGAGAGCAAGGATGGCCCTGAAGAAGCAGTGTTTTTCACACAAAGCTTGGAAACATGTGCCAGCATGGGAGCTCATGCTGCTACTGATGGGATTAGCTACCAGGTCTTGTAGATTCTCCAAGCTTCATTTTGATCTTGAGTTACATCTGTAGAGAGTTGGCCAGGGTTCCACAGGCTTGTCCCAAGAAAAGCTGGCCAGCAGCCCCTCATCTGCTCCTGAGATACGTACCTTTGGCCATGATAGCACTGAGAGCATGGGGATCTCAGTTGTCAGGCCAGCCAAGCATCTTTTGTAAAGGCTAAATTCTTTTAGGTCTCAAAGTCCTTCAGACTCTGCCCTTACCCACTGAGCTTTGGATCACTGTTCCTGGTGAGCAGACCTCTCCAAATGCAGACCTGCAGGATCTAAGAAATGAGTAGTTATTTCTAAGTAGTAGGGTAGCAGGGCTGAGTATGAGTGGAGGGAATGTCTAAGGCCCAGGAGGCTGACCTCAGAGAGTCTCCTGAAAGATTGGGTGAATAGCTCATGCTGACAAAATGCCAACTATTCATTCTGTGAGGTTTAGGACCCTAGGCACTAAAGTCAGATCCCACCGGGCCTTATGAACCACTCTAGGGAATCTAGACTTTATATTGCAAACAGTATCATCAAGGAAGGTAAAGAGCTGAAGAAGGTAAAGGAGGGCCAGCCTGGAGGAGGCAGCCACTCAACACCACAGCCATGCCTTGGTGGGTTACTGTGCTTGTTACTGTGATGGCCCTTTTCTCACTAAGCAGCACATACTTCCATGCCATCTCTCTGCACCTTTGCTCTTTCCACTTTGGCTCTTCCCTCCTTTTCTCCTGCCCATCCAAATACCTAGCTCTAGCCTTAAAATACTGCTGCTTCGATGCAAGTTTCCCCAGGGCTTTGACCAGTGAGAGTCTCATGCTATTATGTACTACCTGTTCCTTTTTGGGAGTGGATTAGCTACCAGATCTTGTAGATTCTCTACGCTTCATTCTGATCTTGAGTTAGATCTCCAGGGAGTTGGCCAGGGTTCCACAGGCTTGTTGTTTTGCCCTAAGACTTTGTCTTAGTTTCTGTATGTCTGCTTGTCCTTTCCATGTGCACATATGCTTCATGAAGGCAGGAATCAGTCTGTTCTGTTGGGGATTGTCCAGTACTGTGTCTAGCCGGACACATTGT